AGGAACCAAGATAACACACTAAGTCATGATAACTCTTAAACCTGGAAGGACCTCATAGGTCAGCACTGTGACCTATGAAGAATGGTTCATGGGAACTGGGATGCCGCTTCTTAAAAAACCTATTTACTTTTTTTTTTTTTTTAATTGTGTTTTAGGTGAAAGTTTATGGTGCAAATTAGTTTCTCACTGAAAAATTTATATACAAATTTTTTGTGACATTGATTGTAATCTTCACAATGTGTCAGCATTCTCCCCCTTTCCTTTTATATCCCAGGTTCCTGGTGTCCATTTGTCCAGTTCTCCTGTTCCTTCCTGCCTTCTTGTCTCTGCTTTTGGGCAAGAGTTGCCTATTTGGTTTCCTATACTTGATTGAACTAAGAAGCACATTCCTCACATGTGTTATTTTTTTTTTATAGGCCTGTCTAGTCTGTGGCTGAAATGTGGACTTCGGGAGTGGCTTCAGTTCTCAGTTAGCAGGGTATCCTGGGGCCATGGTCTTGGGGGTTCCTCCAGTCTGTGTCAGACCAGTAAGTCTGGTCTTCTTCTTGTGAATTTGAATTTTGTTCTACATTTTTCTCCCGCTCTGTCTGGAACCCTCTATTGTGATCCCTTTCAGAGAGATCGATGATGATAGCCGGTCACCATCTAGTTCTTCTGGTCTCAGGCTGATGGAGGCTGTGGTTCATGTGGCCCATTAGTCCTTTGGACTGATATTTTCCCTGTGTCTTTTGTTTTCTTCATTCTTTCCTCCAAACATGCTTGCACCAATAGATATATTTTAGATGATCTATGTTATGCCAATTGACTTAGATATCCCCTGAAACCATAGAGCCCAGCCCTCAGCCCCAGTAACTTGGTTCCTCAAGGTGTTTGGATATGTCTAGGAAGCTTCTATGGCTTTGACTTGGTCAAGTTGTGCTGACTTCCCTATGTTGTATGTTGTCTTTCCTTTCACCAAAGTTAACACTTGTCTACTATCTAGTGAGTGATTTCCCCTCCCCACCCTTCCCTTTCCTTGTAACCACAAAGATTGTTTTCTTCTGTATGTAAACATTTTCTTAGGGTTTTATAATAGTGGTTTCATACAATATTTGTCCGTTTGTGATTGACTTATTTCACTCAGCATAATGCCCTCCAGATTTATCTATGTTGTGAGATGTTTCACAGATTCATTTCTGTTCTTTATTGTTGGGTAGTATTCCATTGTGTGTTGTTGTTGTTGTTGTTAG